ATGCACCTACTTGTTTTCACAAGTGAGTCCAGGATGTATTTTAGGAATCCAGTGCAACCTAGGACTGCCTCTCACAGTCAGACCTCTGGCTGCCTAAAAACCAAAATCCTAGTAAAGTACGTTGGTCAGAATAACTATCTGTCCTCTGGAAAGGTACAGCAGACCACTAACAGAAAGGCTACTCCTGATTTTATGGGAACAAAACTAGGAAACAAAAGTGCACTTAATCTACAATCTGCTGAATTTTTTCTAAGGAAAAACTGTGGAAGTGGCAAGTCACGTCACAGTGCACAATGTCCCTACTTAATTGAGGATCCAGTGACTCGCCCCCTCTGCTCTTCTTAACTGTAAGGTCTCATCGCAGGCGCTGCAATGTTAATATTTAATTTCTTTTGAGAAAGAGACTCCTAGTAATGATTTCCACGTTGCACAGTAAGATTTTTCACAAACAAATTGTTTTCAAGTTACATTTTTTGTCTGCCACCAGTCACCTTCACTTAAAGACAGTAAGAGCGAAGCACAGTAAGAGTGAGTGACTGGCCTCACAGTTCCATAGTGCTAATGCAACTTATTTTAAATGGCTTGCCATGCCTGATGTCCAAAGGCAATGTTTCTTAAAGCCAGATTCACAATACCAGAAGAAAATAGTGTATTTAAACTAAGCCTTAGACACACTTTGAGAGGAGGTCTTCCACACCCCTGAGCTCTTCATTAAGTTGTTACAAAATCTTTTGCCATAAGAAGCATGCAAAGACAACCCAAAGAGCCAACCATCAGTCCAGAGAGCTGCCAACAAGTTATTCTGGGGATGCTCACATCAGCAGACAGCTTGCACTGTGCTAGAACTTCCACAGGCAAAAAAAGGCCATGAAGGACACTTCTGCCACCCAAGCAGGTGACAGCACATTGATTACGCACATGCAAGAGCAGTCATGCGTTAGTGGCTCTCGTCCACGTGCCCCTTAAACAAGCCAACAAAAAAACCTCTTCTAACAGTTTTCTAAGTCCACACTGAAGCATTTTTAGAAGTCATTACCCCCCTGGACATGGGAACTGCTGCTCTAGCACACCATCAAGTTATCAATGCTCAACAAGTGATAGCACATGGGCAGAACTGCAGTAACCGCTCACATGCTCAGCTCTCTGCTGGCAGCAAGTGCAAGGTTATTCAACTCAGCTTAATGCTCTTTTAGTGCAAGCTACATTTTTGTTGTCTTACCTGTGCTGGGATTAACACTACCCAAATGGTCAGTTAACATGACTCAGTTGATACGAGGTAACTTGATCGTACAAGTCCAGCCTTTTAAAAAACATTTAAGGCAACATCATGGCTTTTATTTGATTAAATGCCATTTTCTTTGCATACGATAATGGGGTTTGCAGTACACATTTACCTGTCACATTGCTGCATTATGGATATTTCCTTTATGATCTCTTGCAGGTCAGATTCCACAGGAACTTGCTTAATTGCAACAATTTGACCCGTTTCTTTATGAATAGCTTTGAACACGCTGCCATAGGAACTATGAAACAAAATATTAAACAAACACTGAATCCATTAACATTTTAAAAATGCAAATGCTTTTTGCAAGTGCAGCCATCAGGTGAAAAATTAACTGGCCTTCTGCTGAGAGTATTTTGAGTTTTTAATGTAAATAATCAGTCCACTAGCTTCTAAACCTAATACAAGTAAGTCGCAGCACACTGAGATGGTCAGAAAAGAGCCAACCACCACCACATTGCCTGTAGCTCTGGAAAATTTGGAAATCTACACAAATCCAACCAATCAGATTCTCTCTTTTCCCAGCATACAGTACCAGCTGAGCATCAGTAACAACTACAGCTGTGGTCACAGAGGTTTGCTTGCTCTTGTCAGATATTATCTGTCTTATTTCCAGCTTCTTCCAACATCCAGGCAGATTTACAACTCGGGTTTTGTTCAAATGAACTGCTTAAGGCAGCAAACATGTCACTCACTGAGTGCTCCCACGCTGCTCTACCTTACCAAGCAACAGAAGTTAATTTCCACTTTGTGCAGCTTCCACAGGAGGTACCAGGGATGAACTACAAAACCTCTTGAGCTCCCACAGAGCCCTATCAGCTCCAAATTAGCATCTTTCGACAGTGTTTTAACTCCCTGCTGCTGAGCTGTAAGCTACTGTTTGGATTAAGATATCGTACTTTTGGGAAACAAATTCTTTATTTTGTTACTAACCAAGCACTGTTGCTATGTTAGTCCATACCTCTGCAGTAACAGCATCATGACAAAAGTGAAAAATCAGAGACCACTGAACACATACCCATTACACTAATCTGTTCTTAGAGAAACATACACTGGGCACATGGAATAGAACACGTACCCTTCGCCAAGCTTCTCTAACACGTCAAATACTTCTTCAGGTTGTTTGGTTAAACTATCTTCATCCAACTTCTTCAGCTGCCTGCATATGAAAGAATAAAGAAATGATTATATTTAACTGTACAGCAGTTTGGGCTTTGTTGAAACAGAAGAATAAACAGCACCATTTAAACATATGCAAGGCTTAGCAAGAAGTAAATTGATTATGAAGTTAAGTTTATTTCACCCAACCAGGAGAGTGAATCTTATTAGCATCAAATAGCAAAAGAGGACTGGGAATTGCAGAGAACAGGATTTGATCTGGCACACAAATAACAGTCCTTCTTGGTGGAAACACCCCTCAGGATCTATATGCTGGTGGTCAAATCCCAGCACAGCACTGCAGAGGCTTGCAGCTATTGGACGCACCTGCTAAAGTTCAAAGTCTTGAACAGAAGGATATGTAGTAAGGGCCATGCAAAAGGCAACATCATCTTCCCTAATGCATTTGGAGTATGTTTGAGATACATTTGTTAGAAGGAAGGATGCAATACTCATCTCACCTGTACATTTTTAATACCAGAAGTTCAGATCTTAAATTTGTGAGCCTGGACATATACTAGGAAAGTTCTAACAGGAAAAAAAAATAAAAGGAAACTGATCTTTTAGGATCTTTATGCTGCTTGGTCCATCCCTCTTAAATGCATTAATAACAAGAGTCAGCTGAAATACTTCCTAGGGAAGGGATGCTATGTGATCCTTCACTCAGCCCCACTGGTCTCCAGTACAACTTTCAGAGAGATTCCATCCACAAAGCAACAAGAACTGACCACATTTATTTCAGTCTACCCCTACCACACCAAGAGCTGTTCATCAAAAAACCTCCTGAAACAGTTAAGAACTACATAGAAAAAAAAAAAAAAGAGCTGAAAACAAAGTATTTTACTGTCAAGCAAGAGCCCACAAATGAGTGTTCTTTGGTTTTCACACAACTAAAGTCTGAAACAACAACAACAAAACCAAAACAACACAAAAAACACCCAAAAAAAACCTCCAAATGCCCCAAACCAGCTTTTACAAGTTTCTGAAACACACAAACTCATTATTCTCAGAGTTTTCAGAACTTACTGGTCTCACAGCGAGCAGCACTTAAAATGAAACATGCGTGGTTGCCTGCAACTGCAAGTAACTACTGAAAGCTCTCACTGCTTTAAAGATCATGACTCCACCACAGGACATGCGAATTTTCATACTAAATATATTTTCTCCCCAGTTTCTTAAACAGAATGAGAAACTACTCACTGACCCCCGGCTATTATGTTTACGTACAAAAGCCATACAGGAGGTGCAGCTCACGCATGGAGTATATACAATGGCTTCCTGAAGCAAAGGAAACATAAAGAAGCAGACTCAGGAAGTGGTGAAATACTGAAGCAGTCACTAGCTCCCCTGCAAAGATAAGCATTAACCAACAGAATGTTACTTGTCCTTGTGAGAACGTGGAAGGAGAAAGGGCAGGGAAGAGGAGGAAAGGGAAAAAAACCTGCACGCATCAGTGACCACACAAGCCACCACTTCCAAGGAGCCCAAAAAGCAGTGATGCAAAGGACAAATCCTTTTGAGTGCCATTAAGATGAGGTCCACATCCGATTAAAACAAACAAGAAAAGGCTTTTCACAAACCAAACACAACAACCGGACAACTTCTGCTTGCATCAAACTGCCTCGCTTCTGCTGCAGTGCAGGAGCACATTGACTCTGCACTGCCCAGGTGGTCCTGCGCGCTCGCTGCTGTCAAAGCCACCTCTGCCTCTCCACGGGGTGTTTATACAACACGGATAGAACAGCAACACAAACCCCGTCTCGCCTAAGCCGTTATCCAGATCTATTCTGAATCACCTTCCAGTCAAACACCGGCCTAAGCAATTAGAGAACAAAACCAGATTCTTTAATAGGAGACACGCTGCTGGTTTGTTTAACAAAAGAAGACTCTCACTGCAGGCGGGAGCCAGCAGCTTCCTTTGTTCGCTGCCCAAAGCGCTCCCCGGGACCCAGCTGCAAGCCACCGATAGCATTCTGACAGACGGACGCTCATTCACACTGCCGCTGACTCCAGATGAACCCCGTGCAGCCCTGCTCCACTGCCGCCTGGCCTCCCGAGATACGGGGCTCACGGCTTCATACAAAGATCGCCCCGAAACCCCTCAGAGAACCGGGTCCGCTCCTTGCTGGCGTGACTGGGCTCGGGACGGTGACAAACCCGCGCTAAGCTCACCCAAAGAGCTGGAAAAGTAAGCAACCGCGGGCTCAGCCGCTACACCAGCGCGCCCTCGGTACAACCACGTTAACCGGAGGGAGCTTCCGCAGCCGCCGGACGCAGCGTCCTCTCCGCTACCTCACTTGAAGCCATTTTTCCACCACCTGAGCCCAGCGCTGTCCCAGCACGGACCTACCGGCGCTGCCCCGGTGCGAAGCGACCAAAGCCGACAGCCCCGGCCGCCTCCCTGCAGCTCGGGGCCGGTGTGGCAGGAGCCCAGCGCGGCCGCCCCGCTCCCGCTGGCGTGAGGCCCCGCACCAACACCCCTCAGGTCCGGGACCGACCGCAGCGCGGCACCCCCGCTCCCCGCAGGGATAACCCCGCCGCTCACCGGCGCGGGTTCCGCAGCTGCACCGCCTCCATGGCGCTGCGGGCGGCGGTCGCTCCTCCGGCCGGTCACTCCCTCACCCCTCCATGGCACCGCCGCTTCCGCCCGCCGCCGGAAGCCAGCGGGGAGCGCCCGGCCCGCCCGGGCAGAGAGGGGCGTTCCCGGCCCGGCGCGGGCAGCAGCGCGATGGCGGCATCGCCCAGCGACCTGCGCCGGGCCGGCAATGAGGAGTTCCGCCGCGGGCAGTACGGGCCGGCCGCAGAGCTCTACACCCGTGCGCTGGAGCTGCTGGAGGCCGCAGGTACGGCACAGCCCAACCCGGGCCGGGCGGGGGGCGGGCAGCGGGCGGACCTCGGCTCAACACCTCTCTCGCTTGTGCCCCGGCGCAGGGGAGGCCGCCGCCGAGGAGCGGAGCGTGCTGCTCGCCAACCGCGCCGCCTGCCGCCTTAAGGACGGCGCCTGCAGTCTCTGCGTTGCCGACTGCAATAGGTGAGCGCCGGTGGGGCCCGCGGCGGGGCCGGGGCTGGGGCTCGTTCTCTCGCTTCCCCACCGGTGGAAAGGGCGGGAGGCACGGCGGGGAGGGCGACCGGCCCGGAGCAGCGCCGGCCTGGGCTGGCGCATCGTGCCGGGGCTCCCGCAGCGCCCGGGCTGACGCCGTCCCGGCCGCTCTCTCCTCTGTGCCGCAGCGCTCTCGATCTGGTTCCCTTCGGGATCAAGCCACTCCTCAGGCGGGCAGCGGCGTACGAGGCTCTGGAGAGGTACCCGCAGGCCTACGTGGACTACAAGACGGTGCTGCAGGTGGACTGCTCCGTCCAGGCGGCACACGATGGTGTCAACAGGTAACGCTCTCTGCAGGCAGCACCCAAAGGCTTGGGAGCGCGGCAGCGCGGTGAGCCATGCGTTGCTTCTGCCACTGCGTCAGGAGCAAGGTGGGTCCCAAGCACACGGGTGAAGCAACAGAGGCCTCTGATGCTTCATACAGGACCTGGCCGTGCTCCACTTGTCTGCTAGTGCCATTAGCTCCTTACAAGATTCTGGTGGAGGGGGGAGGAATTAATTCCATGGGGTTGTTTCTGCTTTGCTCAGTGCCTGGTTTAAAGGAAATAATCATCTGCATGTTCCAGCACCCTGTCCTTTAAGCCTCCCTGTGCTGACGGGGGTTACAGGCTGTTGTTATCCTTTTCTCTGCCTGGACCTGTCTACTTTACTTCATCGCTTGCCAGACTGAGGAGTGACACACAAGTCTCTCTCTTGCCTGAGCTCTAACAGTCTTGCCCTATGATATTTTTAGCCCTGATGATACAAAGGTCCTTTCATTACTGTCCTGGCTGTAGAAGGAATTTAGTTTAGATGCACGTGTAAAGGGATTACTGGAGAGATGCTGTTCTTGATACATGAGCCAGGTTAAAAAGGGACTGGCTACTGCATGACCTACCCTGCCAGCAGACGGGTGACTGCCAGCTCTCTCTTGCAGGATGACTAAAGCCCTCCTGGAGAAGGATGGTGTGAACTGGCGCCAGAAGCTCCCACCAATCCCCACAGTCCCCATTTCTGCCCAGACGAGGTGGAGCGCTCCTGCTGGAGCCCCTGGGGCAAACACTCCTCCTGCAACTGCACCGCAAAGAGAACCAGGTGAGAGTGAGCCCTTGGGCAGGGCAGAGAGCCCTGCGGCTCAGGAGGGTGGTGAACAAGAGTGCTGCCACACCGGCTTGGTGTGCCTGCAGCTGGGGCTGAGGCCTGGAGAAATCTGGGCCTGGTTCTGCCACAGCCTTTTCTGTTGATTCTGAATTCTATGATGTTTCTGTGTCTCACCTCTGGTATGGGGATATTTGCTTTCTGGGAGGCTGTGCTGCTCTTGCCTACTTTATAGCATTCTGTATTCTTTCATGCTGTTTCCAGACAAGGCTGCTGCTAACTCGGAGAGAGCTCGCACTCTGAAGGAAGAAGGAAATGAACTTGTAAAGAAAGGAAACCATAAGAAAGCAGTTGAGAAGTACAGTGAGAGTCTGAAGCTCAACCAGGAATGTGCAACTTACACCAACAGGTACTACCCCTCTCATTGCCCCAGAACTCACTGCTCCTGGCCCTTATAAAAGTCATCATGGTACTTGTGACAGAGCTGGCTAATGTTTACTCCCAAACAAATGAATAAAACAAAAGCACCACACATGTTCACCCCAAGTGCAGTCTTCCCTGTAGTTTCTATAATGTTCTGTGATCAGGTACTACAAAAGCCCTTGGAGGTGCTCAGGGATTTCCCCCTTTAATGCTTGTCTGCCAGGACTGCGGTATTTTGAGTAGTGTCTGATGCCCCATGAGCCACAAATTGCAGACTGCTATAAAGTACTTTTAAGGCAATTGCTGCAAGCAGAGCACATCTGGCTAATGTAGACAGGAACCTGCATATTGAAATACAGGTTCTTAGTTTTAGAGCGGGTTGCTCTGAAAATCCTCTTTATTTTCCAGACTGAAAAACTCCTTTTTCTTTTTTCATGCTTTTAACTGAAACTTGAGCTCAAGGAGTAAGATGACATAACGGTTTTGGAGTCCAGCTTTGTGCTGAGATCTGCTACATGTGTTGCAGCAGCAGATGCTGCTTTTAGCCAGAGGTCTCTAACTAGGTATCTGTATTGCAGAGCACTCTGTTACCTAACTCTGAAGCAATACAAGGAGGCAGTAGAGGACTGCACAGAAGCTTTGAGATTAGATCCTAAAAATGTTAAGGCGCTCTACAGGCGTGCTCAGGCACTGAAAGAACTGAAGGTAAGTCAGGAGGTTTTGAACACTTCTAGGCTGTTCGTGCATGATCAGAACCAGAGATGCCCTTTAGAACTTGTTTCTGTGCTAGACACTATCTGCTGTCAGATAGCTAGGACCTGTACTGGCTGAGGGGGGATTTTCTTTCACATCACTATTTGCTATTTGTCTCTCGTGAGTTTCTCAGTGTCAGGTCCTGCTTCTGGAGATGCTGAAAGCAGCTACATGTGTAGAGTTTTATCTCTTCATGTCTGCTGAGAGTTTCTATAGGCAGTACTGGATGACATATTGTATTCATGTTGGACTTGGAATCCACTTGAGTGACAAAATTGTCTTCTCGGCCCTAGTTTGAACATGTTTTAGAACAGCTACACTGATGCCAGTGCTTAAGCAATTACAGAGAGGGAGTCACAGGCTTAGTTGTGTTACGTTTGCCTCTGTTGCTGGGTAGTAATTCCTTGGACTGAATTTTTAATACATTAACACTTCAAAAATATTCTCATTCTAGGATTTCAAATCAAGTATTGCAGATATCAAGAGCCTGTTGAAAACTGAACCAAAGAACACAGCTGCACTGAGATTACTGCAGGAACTGAACAGAGCCTAGAGTAACCAAGCAACGAGGAAAGCTTTGTTTTCCACCACAGAAGAAAGCTTTTTCCCTTCTGGTGTTGTTACAGGGACCAGTCTTAATCAGGATCAGTACTGAAATCCATCATCCACTGCTGCTGAGATGTAACAAGTTCTGTGCCAGCACAATGAATGTTAAGACACACAATCTGTATCAAACTCTTTATTATCTGGTTCTAAGATCATTCAGTTTTAATGCCCCTCCCTCAGAGGCATATAGGTTAACTTCCCTGTAACCATCAGCCTCAGGGACTCTTTTCCATGTTAGCTAAGATGCATGTGACGTGGCTGTTCTCTTTCTGAAGAGCTGCAGAGATTTTATTTGTCCTTATTCAGGTGACAGTTCTGCTGCATTTGTGCTGCTGCTACTTAAATGAGGTTGCTGCAGTCGCCCTAGCACCACGCACCATTCTTAGAACAGGCACAGTTACTTGCATAGGGCTGAGCTTGTTCTCTCTCCCAGTTGGTGCCTGCTGGCCCTCAGCTGAGTTTCTTCTGCTTAGTGTGGCTGGGCAGTGTTTACAGTAGCAACTTTCTTTTAATTAATCTGCACATTTAAGGAGATAGCAGCAAGTGAAGCCTGCCTTGTTACACTGTGCACTACTTCTTTAAGATTATGGGTGCTTGGCGATTTTACAATTGTTATTTTGGGTTGGTTTCCTGTGTTTTGGGTTGGTTTTTTTAAACCACTCTAGCTCCTCTGTGCCTTTTGGAGCAGTTGCTACATGGTGTTACAGGGAGGGGGATATGCAGTAACTTCCCAGTGAGGCCTGGCTTACTACTTTGATGCATGTTTATACTTTTTGTGCTCTTCTGCTTATCTGGTATTGATGGCACTGACTTGAAATGGTAGGTGAAGAGATACTTGGAGCTATCCTGTAAACCATTAAAACTGTTTCACATTAAAGCCATGTTTATTTTCACTTTAGAGCTGTGTTTGTTATGTGACTGATGGTATAGGGGAACTGGAACATTTTAACCACTTCATACCGTCCCCCCCACTTTTGTCAGAGGGCTTCAGTCACTGCTGTATAGTGCCTTGGCTGTGTCAGTGACAGTCCATGAACGTTTCTAACAATTGCTCAGCTTTGCACACTGTGCATGGATAGGGTACTTTAAATACTAAGTCGAGATGCTGGACAACACTAGAGCTGAGCAAACTTACAGTACAGACCGGGAGCCAGAAGCTAGCTCTTAAGTCAGGGTTCAGATACCTTTGTTTCCCACCTTACTTCTCCCAGGAGCCAATGTTTCAGGCAGGTACCCCACTGAAGTAAATTTAGGAAGCAGGCAATCCCTCTAATGCCAGTAAAGACAAAAACATCAGGCTAAGGTAAGAAGTTAAGTAGCTTTTTGTAGGTCCCAGGGCTATACTCCATCAGCTGGAATGGCCAGGGCTTAAAACAACTCACTGAGGGGCACAGATCACACCAGCTCCCATGCAACCAGTGCTTGCTGAGCTCAAAGCAAGTAAGTGTGATTGATAGATTTCAGGGTGGGGAAGCACAGGACAGAGCTACACAGATAAGCAGAGGAAGGTCACAGAATACAGCAGGAAGATTGGCTTCACTTAGTGAACAGCTGTCCTTTTAACAGCCCTGCGGTTATCTGGAGTGGCAGATACCTGCACTGTTTAGCCATTTGTGACAACACCTCTAAGCAGCAGCATTCACCTCTTCCCTTCTCAGCAGCAGCACTGCTTTTTTGTACCTTATCTCTAAGACTTTCCCCCCACATGCCCGCAGGTAGACAAACATGAAGCAATGAGTCTTGTTTTGCTCAAAGTTCAGGGTCACTTATGCTGCTATCTCCCTTTCTGTTCTAGCAACAGTGCTGCTGTCCATGCAAGACACTTCTCAGGCACACAGCAGTAGCACTGTCTACATGGGCAGCCAGTGTTTGTCACAGAGGCAAGCCTTCATCCACCCCTTGCAAAAGCCACAGCAGCTGTTCCAGACTGGAGTCCCCAGATCTCCAGATTCACATTTGCATCGCTGCTCCTGCCTCAGCTCTCTAAAGCCTCAGGCTTCCCTGAGGAGTTCAGGTAGGAAGCTACTCTGCAAACCAGTTCTCCAGTACACATGGGGACCCAAGCTACAGCTGCACCTTTTCTGATAAGCCTTTTAAAGCCCCTGGTCCTTGTTCACATCCTTTCTTAAGCTATTCTGATGTCCCTGTGTTCCTTGGTCCCATTCTCTGCATTCCCTTTAGATTCACAGCAACCTTCTCCAGCCAAGCCGTCATTCAGTACACCTGAACCTCCCTATTACACTGGCAGACAAGCCAGTCAACAGCAGGATGCACCCCTACAGTTCCCCTCCAGCTCCTCATGTGCATTACACTCATGAAAATATTTAGTTTTCCTTTAGGGATAAAGCATGAAAGCTTCCAGACAGTTACGCTCTGGGACAAATAACCAATGAAGGTCTTGTACAGCAAGTGGATTCAAGTCCTTTATAAGCATCTCACTGAGAAGGAGATACCTAAATAATGCAGTTAAGGGTGAGGTATCCACTATGTGGAAAATAAATATGGAGGTCAGAAGAACTGACAAAATAAAGGCAAGAAAAAGGAATGATGAAAAGCTGCAGGGCAGAGCCCCAGCCGAGCAGACGCTGTGCAGGAAGAAGTGTGTAAGCAACTCTATTAAAACACTGGAAGGAAAACAAGGGGTAGGAGGGATGACTCAGCAGCAGGTTGAGCTGACAGTATGATACAGCACAGAAGGAAGATTGAGACAGCAACACCAGCACACAAGGTGGGTGGTGCTGACGGAGGTGTGCTCCTGTCAGCTCAAGGAAGCAGTCAAATAAGGACAATGCATCGCCAGTCTCAAGCACCACGAAGCATCTAGGGACTGAAATTCCTTTCTTAAATAGGAGGAGCAGAACATAAAGGCCAGGATGCTGACAGCAACATGCTCTGGGAGAGGCCCAGGGAGCAGAACACAGTAATAATGGATCTCAGCTGCAAGCAGGGAGCATCCCAATGGGATGATGCAGGTTTGAAGGTTTTCAGTCCCATCAGTAACTCCTTGAAACCACTGGTCAGGAACACACAGAGGAGAAGCAGCTTTTGATTTACAGCTACTCCACAGTACCTCAGAAGCTGGGTCCCATGTACCAGACACACACATGGTAGGGTGAACAGCAGAACATACTTGGTGCCAGTACTCCTGCAGGCATACAGGGTCCATTACAAAAGGAAAACCACAGGAAGATAATGCCTTTCAAAAGGAAGTTAAAACCAGCTATCTAGAAAGGATAAAACCCATGAAGGTTGTATGAAATTTGCTTAAAGCCATCCTCCTGGAGTCAGGAAGGACAAGGAGACCCTGGTGGTTGGACATTCATTACTTAATCCTGTATGTCCCCTCCCACCAGCTCTCAGGACTGCTGCTCCACCAGCATCACAAGCTTCAAACACTAATGACAAGCAGCCTGACTCCAGTCCATCCCTCCACCTGCATGAAACAGAGAAAAGTATTTACTGGCTTTCTGCAAAGGAAACTAACCCATTTGTTGAGGGGTGAAAGCATCAATTCTTTATTAGTGCCAGCTACAAGAACAAATAAAACTACCAAACCCAATAAGTTCACTAAAATGATGATTCACCATCACTTGTCATTTCCTGGGCAACTGAACCAGGCTGGGTTCCACACTACAGTTTGCTATGTGCTTTCAGGGGAAACAAGAGAATTAACAGGGGTAATTTCTTTATAGGTACAGGAGGAAGCAATTGGCAAGGTTTACGATACACGCAGGAAATAGGATGGGGCACTGAAGATAAGCCAGAGTCGCTGTACAGGCACGATTCCAAAGGCACGGTGGGGTTGCTGCTGCTGTTCTTCAAAGGCAACGTTCTCAGGGCTCTCTTGAAGACTACAAGAAACAAAAGAACCCACATATGCAATTTTCAACTGCTAGGAAGTTTTCACTCAGACAAGATGAAATTCAGCTGCACGTGGGTTAACACAGGGCTTCCTTGTGACCACAAGGCAAGAAATATTCTATTCAAAGGAGTGCATGAGTCTGAATTGCTTGTTGATGTGTCTGTCCCAGCCTCAACAGCAGGGGCAGCTCTCCTGATGAAGTCCACACGAATATGTTGTAGGGTATCGACTGATAAGGGTCTACAAAAAAAAAAACACTGGGAAGTCCCAGGAAAGATTGTGCTGGTCCCCACTAGAGCTACAGACAGGTCTTTTCCGATCTTCCTTCCTGGTTGCACAGACATTGCTCTCATCAATATAGAAAAAGCCCCCACAGAACCATGTCTCTGCAGTATGATTAAGTCTGGAAAATGAAGGCTGCAACTGAAGAAACGGGATATTACAAAGATACTCAGGATGCTCCTCAAGCCTTACCCTGGTTTGGTTCCTGGACAAGGAACCCAATGCCCAGTTCCAGAGGCAGAAACCGGAGCCCCTGAGCACACCACCACCCGGTGACACCAGCGGCAGGTCCTGCACCTACCTGGGTTACTGCAGGAACAACCCAGCGCTGCCCTTGTGCGAGGTCTCTGTGGCCTGGTGTGCCTGGAGAACAGCGACCGCCTCCTCAATCTTACAACAGAGCACAAGAGGGGAGGGAGTTGAGTTGCTCCAGTGTAGGAGCGCGCTTCCCAGGGAATTCCAGGTCCTGATCTGGCACATAAAGGACTTCAATAATGATGATAAATTCCAAGCCCGCTACTTCTGCAGGAGACTGATCAGCCTGAAGACCTCTTCTGTGTCTTCCCTAGGGAAATGCTGGGGCACCTCACCTTTCCTATAGGAGTCAGAACTTGGCCAGAGAGAAATCGGACTTCTCCATAGGCAAAACTGAAGGAACCCAGGCTCCTTTAAAAATCCTCAATGAAAGGATGAAAGTGAGCCCTGCCTCCCCGGAGCAAAGTGGAGATGCAGTCAATTCATTGCAACTGTTTTGATGGAAACCAAAGCAAAATATTCACCAGGATTAAGGAGGAAGCTGAAGACGCTGCAGGCAGGCAGCGCTTGTCTGGGTTCTATTCTCGGGAAAGATCACATCCCCATCTCCTTCAAGGGAGCACCTGCCCTGCTTTCCCCCCCTCTCACTTCCCAGCACTTCCCTGTGCTTTTAAGGAGCTGCTCGGAGCTTCTCCTCTTTCTGAAGCGGGGCACGGGGTCGGGCACTGGGTGCAAATCAATCAACCCGGGGCCCTTCCTGCTCATTTTTCACTTAACCCCCCCAAACCAGCAGCTACTTCTCTTCCCACTCTTCTTATGGGCCATGATCACCTTGCAGCAGCAGGGAGTTAGCCCTTTGGGATGTGATGTGTTTGATGCCTCCTTACCTTGGAGTGCAGGGAGTCGGGTGATTCCAGGAGCAGCAGCAGCTCAGAGTTGTCTATTTCCAGCAGCATCCCAGTTATCTTGCCAGCTAGCGTGGGATGCATGGCATGGATCAGAGGGTAGAGGCGCTCACCTGCTCCAAACAGCAGGGAGGACATCAGTGCTGTTCAAGAACTCCGGCATTTCCAAACCCAGTGCAAGCCCTCCTGCCCTCCCACTTCTGTCCCTTTAACTGAAAAGGGATACAAGGATGGTGATGGAAAAAAAAAAATCACTGCTCATGAGCAAACTTCAGCATCTCGCAGCAACAGTGTTTGCAGGCAGGGAAGCAGCTGGATGAAGCCAGGCAGCAGCAGGCACTGCCATAGGAGCAGGGCAGTGGAATGGTGTATGCTGCCCATGCTGCCTACCGGCGTGCATGTGAAGGGACCTGTCTCTGCAGGAGCAGTTTCTTCCCAGGCAGAGCAGGGCAAGCACAAGCTGCGAGACCCCTCCAACACCATGGCACAGTCTGCTCCACCACTGGGAGGCCAAACAGCACCCAAAGCCCACAAACTATATAGCAGAGCTGACCCTAACCCCTGCAGCAGTGATGCAGGATGGCTCGGGGTTCAAATCACAAACTCCCTGGCAGCACAGAGCCCTGCTTCTCCTGCAGAGCTTCAGACGCTGACTGCCAGGCAGCTAATACAGACAAGGAGCGAGTTTGCTGCTTCCACACCCTTCAACAGAGCCTGAATTCATTAATGTCTAGTTTGTGTTTTTCTTTAAGCAGCATCTCAGACCAATCCCACACAGTTCTACAGCTTCTCCTAGCAGCTACACTTTCCCTGGTGCATCCAAGTCCACATGGCCTCGCACGCACAGCCTCACAGCTGAGCCTACTCCAGCACAGCAACCGTGACACCCACCTATCATTTGCTTCTGCTCCTGAGGAGGGGCTGCTGCAAGCATGGATGCTGTCAGGGGCTCCTGCCCCTGGACGTGCACAGCAGGTTCTCCCACCTGGAGAAGAAACAGAAGAGCAGCAATCAAAGGCTGGAAGGGATGCGCGAGCTACCTCGCTTGCAGGAAGGGTATTTCACCCTTCCGAGATGCTGATGCAGGCTCTGGCATTGCCTGTTTGCATCCAAACACCAGCTTCCAGGCAAGCTGAAGCCAGGCATCACAGCAGTGTGGCTACTGGATCCACAGCCCCAGTTACCCCAGCAGCTCCCTGGGAAGGATCCCTCCCATTGGCATAGACAGGGCCATGGGGCTGCCTGGGGTCTGCAGCCACTTTAACCCAGAGCAGGACCAGGACTGATGCACGTTGTGGTTACCTGCGGGGCCACCACAGGCGACATGTGCCCCATGGGCTGGATGTTCCTGACGGCTGAGGAGTACTTGTACTGCGGGGTGCTCCGCGGCAGGGTGGGCGACAAGGGCACCCGAGTGCTGACCGTCTGCGTCCCGATGTTGGCTGCAATGGGACAGGAACATGAGTAAGGAGGAGCCTCTTAAACACGCCTGCGCCCGAGGAGGCTGAAGCCACCAGGGCAGCGCGCTCAGGCAGAGGGCCTGAAAAACACCCTCCTGGGCTCAAAGCAGCCTCCAGATGAAAGGCAGCTTCTCCAGGACTGGCAGGGCACAGCCACCCAGCCCAGGCTGGTCTGACTGCACAGAGGGCAGAGAACTGGCAAAGGCACCCACACCTCATTGCCTAAGCTCCAGAAATACCCCAAGGTCCTTTGACAAGGACAAAGGGAGGGGACAAGCCAAGGACAGTCCTGATCCCACCACTCAGTTCATCAAGAAGACCCCCAATGCCAGAGATGACTTGGGCTAAACCACACAAAGCTGGGGCTGCAGGGGATGCTGCCCCACCAGGCAGTTCTATGTTCTGGGGGACATCAGACCTTCACCCACCCACCAGCTGAGCAGCTTCCACTCTGCACTACTCAAACCTCCCCTCAAAGCCCGTCCACAGAGGAGCCCAGCAGGGGCTAACACTGCAAGCCCTGGCGAGCATCCTCCTCTTCCTCACTCACACAAAGGCAGACACAGGGTTGCAGCACTCTGGGGGTGAGGAGTGCTCTGGGTCACATCCCCAGCCCTGCAGGAGCACAGCCATGTGATGCTGGCACAGTGGAGGGGACACCAGGACAGCACAACCAAGCACTGGGCATACCAGCAAGGCCTGGTTCTCAGGCCACAGCTCCAAACAGCTCTAAGGTGAACGTGTTCTACTGGAGGCTTGGCCTTGGCAGCAGCCTGCGAGAACCTCTGCTCCTGCCCAAGAGGTCCCAACCTCCACCTCAGGGTGCCGTGTCTGCATCACCATCATCTTCACTGAACGTACTCAGTGAGCAGCAGCCAACAACACCAACCTACATATTAGAGACCCACCCCACTACCTGAAAGACCACAACCTCCCCCCAGAGTTACACACTTATTTACTACAGGCACTGCTCCAGTCCCACCACATCCACGGGCACCATCCAGGCTCCTCCACGAGCACTCCCACAAACCAATCCATGCTGGGGAGCAGACCCAAGCTCACAACAACCTCCCTTGCCAAGGGTGATGTCCGAGCTGGGTCCTTACCCACTCTCTGTGCCTGGGGGGGCACACGGGGCACTTGGGTGGATGCCTGTCTCATGGTGCTGATGTTGGACAGCAGGCGCCGGGGCTGCACGGCAGCTCTCAGGATGGGAGTAACTGCAGGATACGCTGCTGTAGAGATGGAGTGTGATTAACAAAGGCAGCATAAGGCATGGACGGATGTGTGACTGCAGTGGGGGAGAAGCTCGGGAGCACCTCACCTCTGGGGTCAATCTAATGCCTTATCCCCCAGGGCCCATCACCGTGACCCCTGCACCAAACCCTTGTGTACTTCTCCAGGCAACAGCCCCTCGTGGATTCACACTTTGTGCTGCATTTAGAGACCCCCGGTGCCCAACTGAGGCCAGCCCATCCCAAGAGCCTGACTCACGGGGAGGCCGGGAGGGCTGCGCACTCCAGCGAGTGCCAGGACGGACTGGGACAACTGGGCTGGAGCTGTAGAAGGTAGCTCTGGGTGGTGGCTGGGAAAGAACACATTATCCAAGGTGACTTGGGAGCAGAGCTGAGCCACGTCTAACCCAGAGCATCCCAGCCGCTGCCGCATGGCCCGCAAGCCAAACACAGGCTCTGCAGTGTGCCAGAGCACTTGAAAGATCAACCTCCAGCCCTGCTGCCTTGTGTCCTCCAGCAGCTCCACTTATCTCCTCCTCACAGGCTCTGGTACCTCTGTAACCCTTCTCCCTCCCCTCATTTCACCAGCAGACCTGTTCTCCATGCTCACACCCTCCCACCAAACTCCTCCTTGGTTCCCTCCTCTGAGGTGCAGTCAGTAGCTGCTAAACCTGCAGTCCATTGCCTGGGGCACCTGCATCCCACCAGCATTTTGGCAAGCCCTGCTGCTTATGGGGAGCCCTGGTGCTGATCCCACCAATCCCATATGTCAGTCTGCACAACCCAAGAGATGCTCCTCAGCCCAACTGCCACCTCCCTCCTCAAGCCTAGGGCAAATCCTGGTCCCTGTGTGATGCTGCCATTCAGCATTAGGTACTCACCGGAGGAATAGGGGGTAAGAAGTACCCCGGCTGGAAAGAGCCCAAGAGAGGGCCAGGCAGGGCCCTCATGGTGGCTAATCTCTGCATGTACTGGTTGGTGAGGATTGCTTTCCGCTCCTCTTTCCTTTGAGCGAGTGCAACGTAGAGAGGCTTAGTGCTGACAATCCGCCCGTTCATTTCTGTCACGGCCTTGGTAGCCTCTTCTGGGGAGGAAAAACATACAAAGCCAAACCCTTTGCTGTGGCCACCCTCTGTCATCACCTAAAATCAGATTAGAACAAGACAGCTAAGTCCACAAGTCACTGCAGCACCCGCAAAGCACAGCGCACTGGGAGGGGGGACTTGGGACCTGCCAGCTACAGGCACCCCATTGCGGCCCCCAAGTGCAGGGTGGGATGGTTGGGGCTGCACAGGGAGGATTCCCTGTGGAATGGGAAGATTTTCTTGGGAAAAGCAGCAGGTTTGGGAAGTGAAGGCGGCAGAGTCTGGGCCAGCCAGAGACCTGCAGCTTCTGATCTTCCAGAGGGTCTGTGCCCCAGCCCCACAGGACCCATGGGTCAGCAATGCTCCAGTGCTTAATGCTGCAGGAGCCAGCACGGTTTGGGTTCAGTGGGACACTGTCCCTGGCAGCTGGCAGGCTGCAGGTAGCTGACCTTAAAGCCAGAGCATCCCTCTGCACCCATGGGCACAGCCTTCAGGAGAAGGCTGACACCAGTCTTGGTGGCAAGACTGCCACTTTGATGGTTCTCCAATAGACAAAACCCCAGCCTGTCACCCTGCTCTCCTCAGACAGAGGTGGCTTGTGGGTCATTTCCTTTTGCAGCAGTGTCCCACGGTCCCAAACCACAGGGCAGCTGTGCAGCGTTCAGAATGATGTGGCTTTAAGGTCCCACACCCTGAACCTCACCAGGGCCGGGGAAACTCAGCAAAGCTACAGAGCATTCGCTGCACCAACAAGCTCGCAGGACAGCGTGGGGTACAAGGGGCAGGGCTTCACACTTGGCTTGGGATACAAGCCATCAGCAGGGACCTGCAACTCAACAGGATAACAATCCCAATCCATTCCCAAGGGCTGAGAGCACCCCATGAGCCCCAGTCGCACACCTTGGCGCTGGTGATGGTGCCGTATGGAGAGAATTCCTTCCTCAGCCTCTCGTCATCTATCCCATCATCCAGGTTCTTCACATACAGGTTGACCCCCTGCAAACAGGCAGAAAAGCGCCTTAGGCTCGTGAAGTTTATGGCAGCTTTTCAAGCTGGAAGCTTGTTTCACAGGCAGCTCAGCCAGAGGACGGGACATCCCACTAACAAGAGGAGTCAGAACCACATGTGTGCTCCACTCACAGGTGAGACACCCCGAGTGAAGAGGCACCCAGACCATGGCTAGGAAGCTGCTCCAAGACCTCAGGAAGCTGCCTTGTTTCCAGACTAATATTTTAGTTTCTGGAAAAGAGCAGCCCCATTTGTTCACTGACCAACATCCTCTTGGGTTTAGATCTCTCTCCTCTTTCCCAATACTACTTCCCAGCACATTACAAGGCAGTGACTGGACCCTTGCACAGATGTTTAACTGCAGAAAGGACCCAGCACGCTGGTCTGCCCTGGAGAGCCCTGTGCTGTGCCCACAGGGTGCTTCTGGGTGCCCAGCGCCTGTTGCTGGTGCAGCCCTGCAGGACGGAGCATCCCGCTGTCCCCTTACCTGGTACCTGCTCACTCGCTCCTGCTTGATCTGCTCGAATTTCCTCTTCAGCTCGCTCTGCCGCTCCAGCCGCTTCTGCGCCCGGCCCACGTACACCATGCGCCCGTTGATCTCCTTCCCGTTCATGTCAGCCACCGCCTGCCAGCGCGGGGAAGGGCTCTGAGCACAGGGCGAGGCCAACAGCCACGGCTCTGCCCTTCACCCCCTGCCCCAGGCTGCCCCAGCCCGTCCTCCCCACCACATCCTGCCCATCCAGCCACCCCTGACAGCGCAGCACCCAGCCAAGCATGAAGCCAGTAAGGTCCTTTCCCTAGGGAGAGACATCAGCAGGCAACAAGCTCAGGTCTACGGCAGGCAGTGAGGAGCCTCTTGCCTTCTGGGCTTCTTCATGCTTCTCGAAGTTGACAAATCCAAAGCCCTTCGAGCGGCCGGTGCTGTCCATCATGACTTTGACACTTAGCGTCTTTCCTGCAATAGGGAAGGAAAGCGCCCGCCTGAAGGGTGCCCACCAAAGGGGTGCAGCACCAAGAGATGCCAGTGCAGTGAGGAGACTGGACGGTCATGGCAGCACGGAGGAGCCAAGTGGGAGGAGAGACAGCAGGATCCATGGGTTGGCACAGCACTAAGCGCTGTCACAAGAGGCAAGCTCCAGTAATGGACTAAACTGAAAACCCTTTTTGGCTTTAAATCCAGACCCAGCATCTCTCATTCCCAGGGCTCCCATAGCCAGATGACACGGTGGATTCAGGACAATTTAAAAACCTAATAAACAAGAAAACTCACTTTTGTTACCCAAGAAAGGAAAAAAAATTGTATTTTTTTTGTCAGGAGAGAACCCAATGCAAGTTTTCCTCCATCACAGCAGGAAAACTCATGTAATGTCCCAGTGATTTAAACCACTGTGCCCTTCAGCGAGGCAGTGTTTAAGCAAGTCAGATGCTGAGAGAAGGGGCTCGGTATTTCAAGCCCTCTCCCCCACTCTCTTTGCAATTGCCACAGCTCCACTTTATCCGCTGTGAGGATGCTTTCTCCCAGAACCCTGCTCACCGAATTTGGAGAATATTTCCCGCAGCCTGTCATCATCCATGTCATCCCCAAAGTTTTTGATGTAGACGTTGGTGAACTCCGTCGCTTTAGCCCCAAACTCTGCCTCGCGCTCTTTGCGGGATTTGAAATTGCCAACAAACCTGCAGGAGGAAAGGAAAGGGGCCTGAAACCCTCCCTGTTCCCTGCGGAGGGAAGAGGGATGCAGGCACTTCTGTCTTGGTACAGGCCAAGAGAGACCCCATCACCTCAGGCCGTGCTTTGCTCACCCCTAAACCCACCATGTGTTGTACATCCAGCAACTTCAGCACATCCCACTTCAGCGCTTCCCTGTCTAAACCCCACTTGGAGCTACTGAAACAGGGAGGGCAGTAACACAGGGCACAGCCCCACGCTGGGGATGTCACTCCAAAACTCCCACAAAGGATGCCACCAAGTGGCAACTCTCTTACTCCAAAGTATCCCCAAGCCCTTTGGGAAGCTGCTTGTCTCTGCGAAGACAGGGATATAGAGAATAAGATGATGCAACATTAATAGAGAGCTGATGAACAACAAAACCTCTTCCTGCCCAGATTATCTGATGCTGACAGACAACCATTGAGGACCAACCCTGCTTTGTGGGTGCTCTGCACAGCTCAGTGATAAAACACAGCCCAGGGCTGGACTCCTTCCCCAGCAGCAGGAATGGCTCCAAACCACTATCACACTTCCACCGGCACTGACCACAAGTGACTCACTGCCCTGGAACTGCTGTGCCCAGTGGGGATAGGACAGGAAAGCAGAGAGCAGCAGGAGGTGGTAGATCCTGAGCATGCACCAAGGCAAAGGAGGAGCAGAGCCGAGCGCAGAGCGGAGGGGACGCTCTCCTCTCCGGCACTTACACCTTCCGGTCATTGAGCAACATCCCATTCATGGTCTCAATGGCCCGAGTTGCTGCCTCGTGAGTCTCAAAGTGAACAAAGCCATAGCCACGGGATCCATTTTCATCACAAACCACCTACAGACACCGAGCGAGGTGGAGGCAAGAGGCAGACACTGGTTTTCTCCATGGCCACACAAGTAAGACACAGCAAAACCCACCCTCATCTCCCAGGGGCATTTGCCCTCCCCGACATCCCATTCCCAGGAGCTTGTGGCTCACCAAGACCCAAGCGCCACCGAGGCACTCAGTTCAGATAGAACACAAATGTATCTGTGCAGGCACTGGGAAGAAGAAGGGACCAAAGGAAAACCTCCTGTTTCCAGAGGAAACACAGCAGCGCCTTTTGGCTTCAAAGCAGGTGGGAATTTAGAGGAGACTTTGTGGGAAGCAAGACAAGAAAGTGACTTTAGCTGGCTAGAGCACCCTGCTGAGAACCTGGGGCAGCTCTGCAGCAAGCCCGTCCCTGCAGCGCCCGTGGGTGCGCGTACCTTGCAGGACAGGATGTTTCCGAAGGCAGAGAACGTGTCGTACAGGGCTTTGTTATCAATGGAGTCATCCAGGTTCTTGATGAAGACGTTTCCAACCCCTGACTTCCTGAGCCCGGGGTCCCGCTGGGACCACATGATGCGGATGGGACGGCCTTTGATCACTTCGAAGTTCATGGTGTCCAGGGCTCGCTCCGCTGGCAAAGAAGCAAACACAGGGGAGAGAAAAGGACAATAGAGACAGATCCCCTTCACATCTCACAGCAGCTGAGATGGGCACAGGAAGCAGGGATGTTGTTGGACAAGGGCTCATTAACCTGAACGGGCCAGGCTCTGCCTCCCAGGGCAGCAGGGCCAGGCAGGGGCTGTTCTCCTCCCCTCCAGCCACATCACTCCTTCCTTTTTAACTGTTATTTTAATCTCCAAAGCATGTCCGACTCCCATGCGATCACCCACTGCATTCCACACTCCAGCTTGGCAGATGTCAAACTCGTTTTCTTAGTACAGATTTTGGTCTCCAGGGCAACTAACCCAACACCTCCCCATCTCCAGCATGAAACACCTTTTGGTTACAGTTCTGTATCACTGTGATGCCTGCCAGAAGAGCCTTGCTTCGCAGCATGAGCCAGCTCATGGAGGGAGGTAACTCTTGCAAGGCACCTTCCTCAGCCCACAACCCCAAAGCCTGGTTGCTGCATCCTCTCCCAGTCCCTAAGAAGAGATGGGAGTGGGATTGGTCACCAGCTGAGAGCAGACTGGGATTAGTTAAAACCAAAACTCAACATCAGCAGATGCATCAGTCCAAGCCCCAACAGCTGATGGACACAACCATTCAGACAACTGCTCCTCCCTTTCCCACTGCCATCTCTTGCACATCCCCAAACCCCCCCTGCCGGGCAGCTCCTTGGGACTGTGTTACTGGGATCGTGACTGTGTTATTGGGCTCCTACCATCCACAGGCTGCTGGAAGTTGATGTAGGCATAGCCCAGTGATCGGCGCGTGGCGACGTCCCGGCAGACTCGGATGGACATGATGGGCCCAGCAGGTGAGAACTTCTCATAGAGCATGGCTTCGGTCACATCCGGGTGCAGGTCTCCCACGTAGAGAGAGGCTAAGGGGTAGCCAGGGCCGCTGGCGTTCATGGTGAACCACAAAGCTCTGCTGTGGAGGAACACAGACCCAAGGCTGCAGGGTGCAGACTGCACGCGGCAACCACAGACCCACACCAGGGCTGGCCCCACCACAGCAATGCAGTCCATGCCCTTCCCATCAGTAGGGCCAGGAATGTCTCAAGGATGCTGCAGTTCCTACGTTTTTAAGGGACACTTCACTGTTGGTGCAAAAGCTGAGCCGTGGTGATGCGCACATCACAGCCCTCACAACACCAGCGTCGGAGGGACACCACACACCACAGCCCCCGTTTGCTCCTTTCCCCACTCAAATCCCAAGAGAAATAAAATGGAGTTTAACTCCTCGGAAGGGAAGGAGCCCTTCTCCACCAGGGAATTCCATGTTAACTCCTCCCTCAGGAGGAGGAGAGGGAGGAAGCACCGGTTTGCTCTGATGCACAGTGCTGCCCAGGAGCAGCCCACCCTGCTGCCACCAATGCTCCCAGCACCTCCAGCAAGGCAAACACTGCTTTTTAACCAGCCCTTCCCAATTCCTCAGCTTGATGATGAGGTCCCCAACGCAGGAAAATCGATGCTCAGTCTCTCGCTGGTTTTAGTTGGGTACAAGCTTGTGCATGAAGATGACAGTCGCTGCTTGAGCCCCCTAGGGTGCTGCCTTACGGAATAGAAATGTAGCTGCTGCCCTAAAAGCTTCAAGCGCACTTTTGGGGCTCTTACCTTCAAGCTCAAAAGGCCCAAGACACCAATTAAGGTACCCTACGGATGCCCCAAATCACCGCACACACATAACAGAAGTGCATTAAACAATTCCTAAGTCCAAACCAGTGACCGCCGCGGGCAGGACAGCAAGAGCCGCGCACCAGCTCCGTGAGCTGAGCCAGCCCTTCGGGCAGCCACGATGGGACCCAGCCGGGCTCAGAGTAAAGGGAAAGAGGTGAAGAGGGAGGAGAGGAGAGGGAGAGGAGAGGGAGAGGAGAGGGAGAGGAGAGGGAGAGGAGAGGGAGAGGAGAGGGAGAGGAGAGGGAGAGGAGAGGGAGAGGAGAGGGAGAGGAGAGGGAGAGGAGAGGGAGAGGAGAGGGAGAGGAGAGGGAGAGGAGAGGGAGAGGAGAGGGAGAGGAGAGGGAGAGGAGAGGGAGAGGAGAGGGAGAGGAGAGGGAGAGGAGAGGGAGAGGAGAGGGAGAGGAGAGGGAGAGGAGAGGGAGAGGAGAGGGAGAGGAGAGGGAGAGGAGAGGGAGAGGAGAGGGAGAGGAGAGGAGAGGGAGAGGAGAGGGAGAGGAGAGGGAGAGGAGAGGGAGAGGAGAGGCAGAGCGCCGAGGGCACGCAGAGCCGCCCGGGCGGGGCGCACCCAGCAGCGCTGCGGGACCCGCGGCCGCCGAGCCCCTGCAGCGAAAGGGCTGAGCACAAACAGGCAGCGGCGGGCGGAGCCGCAGGGGAGCGAGGAGTGAGCAGCGACGACCCTGCCCTGCCCTGCCCTGCCCTGCCCGGCCCGGCCCGGCCCCGCCCGGCCCCGCTGCGCTCCACCGGAGACCCGGCCCCGGCTGGCACCGCCCGAGCCGGGAGCCCCGCACTCACGCCGAGCGCTCCGGCAGCCTGGGCTCAGCTCCGGTCACCGCTCAGCACCGCTCCGGCTGCGCCTGCCCGCACCGCCCGCCTCTTCCCGCGGCGGCGCCGAGGGCGGGCCCGCCCCGTCCCGCCCCATCCCGCCCCGTCCCGCCCCGAGCTGCGCGGGCAGCGCCCCGCGGGCAGGGTCGGGCCGGTTCGGTTCTGGCAGCGGTGTCCCCGGTCTGCAGATGGCCGCCGGGGCCACCCGCGCGTCTCGGGTCGTTTGGGGTAAGCGGGAGGGTGCGGGTGCCGTGTTTTGCCCCTGAACGCTGACAGCGGGTGCGTGTGCGTGTCCGTGTCCAGCCCGCCCGCTCCGGGGAAACCGCCTGCAGGCTCTGGCAGGTGATCGCCTCAAGTTAAGAAATCCACGCAGGAGCCGGGAAGATACCAGCAGCTCGGTACTAACCCGTCATCACTGGGCTTTATGCATTCCCAATGTCCGCAGGTCCTGGCAGCCCTGGTGCAATGGCTGGACTTGCTGATCTTAAAGGTCTTTCCCAACCTGGTCGATTCTGTGATCCCATGACTCTAAGGAAGATCCCTCGCCATCCAGTGGGGGCCCACAGGATCTGTAACCCACCCTCTGCCGTCACCGTGTGTCTGGATGATTGAGTATTGCATGGTCGCCTTCATCCACGGAGATCACACCCCAGCTGTGCTGCATGTGTAGGGGAGGTGATGGTTTGTCATTGAAGAGCTTGCTGATGTGACAAGGCCCAGGGCAGGCAGGGCAGTGTCACCAGCAGCTCCCCCAGTGTTTGCAGGGCTGTGCTGGGCCCCTCACACCATGTTTCAGCTGGACTTGTTCCTCGAACACACACCCTCTACTTCTGCACATTGAAGGGAAGAAGTGATTGCAGCAGGGTGAGTGCCTCGTGCTGACTTCAGCTGAAGGGAGCCACTGGACACCATGAAAAAGGCACTTCACCTGCCCCCGTTGTATCTGGAATGGTGCTCAGCAGACACCCCATCCCGCTCCAGGCGGCACACACCGGGTGTTAACACACACCCCATCCCTGTGTGGTCGCTCAGCTCCACCCCACTCCGCGCTCTGGGAAGGGTCAGCGGCAGCACCAGCAGGAGCAGCTTTTCCTGCGGAAAAGCCTTCTGGTGGTTTCCCACAGGGAGCTGCCTCACCCAGAGGTCAGGCGAGCACCAGTGCCAGGAATGAGGAGCCGCAGCAGCACCCATGACATCGGTTAAATGCGGAGCACACCCGGGCTCCCAGCGGAGCTGGAGCGCCCTGTCCCAAAAAAAGGTAGAGTAACTTCCAAAATACAAACATTTCCTTTTGATCCTTAACTTTATGGAGCTGAGGATCAGCAAAGGTGCCCAACTGCTGATCACTCTCCCAGACTATTTCCCCCACAAAGAGACATAAAGATGGGAGATGTTAACTGGAGGCCCCATAAACAGGAGCAGCTTAGCAGGATCTGGGGTTTTCCTTCTCAGAGCTGACAGTGTCATCAGCACAAGCCAGACTGGGAGTTAGTGAACACTATGAAATGATTTAAGATCAGGTAAGTCCGTAAAGCATGAAGAAACTGACAAAGCAGCAGTGATTTCAGATATAATGAGGATGACCGTGTAAAGCCATGGCACAGGACAGATCAGTACTCGGTCAGCAGCCAGTCAGATTCTGCCCTAACACTGTGTGTGGGGAAGTCTCTCTGCAAAGGACTGAGTAATGAAACATTTGGAAACCCCAAATCGACTTGCACAATCCAAGAAGTGAGCATTTAATATAAATGGTGCTTTTCCAACCACAGGAGTTTTGGACCCAGTAGAGCAAAGAAAAGAGACACAAACAACTGATAAAATTTTTTATTATTCACTTTTGAACTCTTTTACACTTTTCCTGATTATTTTGTGTAAGGTGAAACTAGAACTGTTGAAAAGACATACACAAATCTAGTACATCAATAACCAGGTATTTCTTTTTGCTATACTATTCTCACAACCACGTGTGTGCTAGGCAATATAACCGTCACAGAAGCAAACTTTAGGCAGAATACTGGTCAGTAAAAACAAAGCGAAAAGAGCTACCAGATATACAGACAGGCTCGGTTCCACATTCACTACTGCATTTATCAAGCGCCAAGTATTAACTGCACAATTTGTTCAGCTAGTAGAGGGGAGTTTTAAAATCAGTGCATGAAATTCTCTTCAGCAGATGGATGGATAGACAAACAGATGGAGCCTATACCTAAGTGGAATGTGAAGGGAGGGGGATGATACTGCGAGACTGATGGGTGACTATCCCGTATCTTTTCCACTGCATTATTCACGCAACTCTCATTAGGTTTTCTTTAATGGGACATGTTTGAAACATAACTAGGTGAGGTGTGGAGCTCAAATATTACAAGCATCACAAATGTGTAGGTCTGCATTCCAGTATGATAAATGGGAGATCCTGAATGTCTGAGCCAGATCCTGGTACTACCAAAAAATAGCAGACAAGAGCTGAAGACTGCAACAGCCCTGGCAGCTCTCAGACATCCAAGAAAGAAACCTGTCCTTGAGCAGGTCTCACCCACCATCCTGACATCACCCATAATCAAAGAAAGGATGACGCATATGTGGGAGTCCAAAACTGCTTTAATGGAGTTTTAACATGTGAGAGGGTTGAGGATGAACAGAGTCCAGTGGGAGAAAAACTGCTATAAAGGGAACTAAAGGTGGCTCAGTGGATTACTTTAGAAATTCTCAGGATAAATTCAAAATGGGAATACCATGGAGATTTTGATTCACCTAAGAGTAAAGTAATGCAAAAGTGGCAGATCACTTCATGGTATCATCCAAACTAATAAGGCCATTCAAAAAATTGAATCTTCTCCTATTGCAAGTCCATGGTAGTGAACCAAGAATCCTCACTACTGAAGGCTATCTAAGGTGTAATTACGTTATGTTATTGCTGTGGGAAGGGGCTGAGTCATGCATGTTGTATGAGCATGAAAGCACTTTTAGAAGTCAAATCCCAGTTATCTGCCAGTGTAAAGAGTTCGGAAATCAAGCTGCTAACTCCCCCGTTACCCTCCTCCCCAAAACAAACCCCATCCCCAGAAAGACAGGATGGACAAAGTGAGCTTTTGACTGGAAGCGGTGCCTCAGACTTGGTTACAAATGTCTACAGAGTGTGCCTGTTAAACTAACCCATAGCAGTGTCACTAACTGGAATGCCATATACTGGATTGTTTTCTTTCCATGCCCCAGTGTCACAATAGAATCTCTATAACTTTCTGTACAACTTTACAACAGAATTGTACTTCGACTATTTTGGTGCCAAATTGAAGCTCGCCGGAGTTTCCATAATTGATGTCTACTTTTCTACCAATAGGAGTTTTGTAAGGTCAATTGCATTCACAAAACCCATAATCACAGTGTTCAGTTAAAAATATAAACACGGTAATCATAACTGGAAATGTTCCTAATAGGAAAGTTCGGAATGCCATTGTAATAACCGACCTCCGCTTGAAGTACACAAAACACCAACCAACCGGTTTTACCCCACAGACAGTTTTTGCTACGTTGAGGTTGTGAAAGTCGATGTACTATTCTTTTTGCTTGTCGCACAAAGGGATATATGTGTAGGATACAGGGTGACATTGAACATATAGTGAAGCGTGACAGCCATTAGTTCTCTCCCTCCCCAGCATCCCCTTCATCTCCCTGGTTTTCCGATGTCCATAGCTGTAAGAAAATACAAACACATGTTCATACTTAAAGCATGCAGTTAATTACAACTGTCAGGAAAGGGAAGACAGTACAATGAGCAGCAAGTCTGCAATTTTTTCAGATAAGAGCAATACAGAACATGACAGTTAAAGCTACAGAATAATGAACTGGAAAATGAATAGAGAATAACAAACAAAAAGGCAGCAGAAGTTTGCAAGCTCAACATAAAGCTGGCTATTGTAAACAGACAAACTCCACTCTGTGCTACCAAGAAGATTCTGAGTTTGTTACAGTGGTTATCGAGTGATTTGTGGTTTAAACAAGCAAGTTAACTGGTCTGGTTACAAAAAGCTAACACGTGCAGTTAATGCCTCAGAAAACGCTTTCAATGGCACAAAACTACGTAAGTTGTCTGATGTCAAGTCACACTTAAGTCCAGCAGCCTAAGTAACAGTGCACAGTGGAGTGGTTTGCCCCAAGATACTTACAGTGAGGTTGTCCCTAAGCAGCTGCATAATCAGCGTGCTGTCTTTGTAAGACTCTTCATTCAGCGTGTCCAGCTCTGCTATCGCTTCATCAAACGCCTACAAATATGCAAGACAGCTCTTTCACACTCTGCTCTGGGATTTACTTCTGCTTACACACAGCTTACACATTTGCCACATCCCTATTCAATTACCCAAATTCTGTGACAAAACCTCCCAGTGTATTTCTTTTCCACCAACAGAAAAGAAACGTAAACCAAAGTGAGCACCGGATCACTAGACAACCAGTGGGAAAACAGAAGTCTTCAGGGTCCAGCCTAAAGCCCAGAACAACTTCACTACCATGCCAACATCAAGTACTGAAAAGGCAAGTGCACTCTCTGCCACACTGAAGAATGATTCATGCAGCTTGAAGTCAGCTTTAAGAACAACACTTCAAAGCAATACTTTCATTAAAAATGAAGGTCTTGCTGGTGTAAATTTGCAGTAAAAGACAAAGATACCATTACGTTGATATATATTGTACATGAGTAAGTAGGCAAGAAAAGGGAAGACAAGGGTTTTTTGATGGTAGGGTGGAAGGTTTTGGACTTCTCTCCAAAACAGCATAGGAAATCAGGTATGTTCCACTAGAGATTAATAAAGCCATTCCTCCCATTGATCTGCTACATGTGAAAGCCCACGCTGCAAGCCTGAGTGCCGAAAGCCATGAGTAAGTGCTATTTCTTCATTCCTGTTTCAAACCCAGTGTAAGCACATTCACTAAAAAAGCAGGAACAGCAGCAGTGTTTTGCACAGCAAAACATCACTCCTTGTTACAAGGTATTATCCAAGTGCATTTTAAGAACACAAAGATTCACCTAATGG